AGCAATTTGGGGTGAAGTGTCTCAGGGACACAACGACATGCTGACTGCAGTGGGGTTTGAACCTGTGACCCCCTTATCCTAACACCAACGCACTATCCACTGCGCAACACGCCTCCCTCAATTCATAAATCTCATTTTAAGTAATTTGATGCTAAAAAGTACCCTAGTTTTGAGTGATAATAGGCTTCTTTTGCATTAAATAGGCTTAACTAGATTGCTTGAAATTAGTCTTTTTAATCTTATTTCAAGATGTTATGTGCTATAATGACAGTCGGACAGCCTGACTTGTTTTAAGACATCTTATCAAGTGAAATTTGCTTACTGCACTGGCAGCCAAATGTGCTTGTTTTAAGTGCAAGCATGCTTATATCTAGAACGTTTGGCCTTAAATTTGACAGGGCGTTTTTGCAGTGTACTCTTTAACACATTACACTGAATACTATTGACTTGACATTTTAAAATCATAGTGATTCCAGTACTAAAGCCAGTCACAGCAGTGAGGTCCCATTAACTCACAGTGAGGCAGGTGATTGTGTTGCGTTACAGACCATAAGCTGGGGAACGCAGCTCACAGCAGGGGGCACTTCAGAGGGCGATGAGGGTTCTAATAAATGGACCCTCAGCAGGCACTTCACTCACTCCAATGGAAAGCAGTTTTGACAACTGGAGAACTATGGTTTGTTTTTTAAACTTATATCAATATAGGTGTATTACATTTGTTATGATAAGGGTTGAGACAAAGTTCAGAGTAACTCATGAGTAGAATTTCTCAGAAAATCTTGGTAAAAATGACTGATTTTGTGCCGTAAAATACGAGCTGTTATTGCAGAGGGAGTAATCGCAGACATTCAGCCGGAGATTAAAGAGGGTGTAAAAACGCAGACTTGCATCCCATCCCTGATGATGGTACTAAAACCTCTGCGGTAATAACGGACGGCCCATATAAAACCTGTTATCCATGGCACATACTCAGCACATCTTAGAAGCTCTCTATCTCCTCTAGTTTTCTCCGGCTCAGCCTCTTCTCTATCAGCTGCTCTAATTACATTCAGGCAGACGTGAGGACACCGCCTTCACAGCTTTATACTGACCAACACTGAGGGACCAGATACTTCACAATGTGGACACTCACAAGGCGTATGTAGCATTGTTGACGCCTGGAACGATGTTAGTGTATGGGTAAGATTTGGCTTAAAGGGGACCTATCATGCAAAATGCACTTCTGTACGTCTTTTATACATGAATGTGTCCCCAGTGTGTCAGGGAACTCACCAAGTGTCAGAAAACACAAGCCTCTCTCTTTTCCTCCATACCCAAATCTCTTAAAACTGGGCTCGAGACACTCTTTAAATAAATGTATCAATAATGATTCACTAAAAGCATATTTCATGTACTTTCTTACAATACCCACATAGGGATGCTAAACCATGAATATTCATATAGTTGAATCCATATTGTTGATATAAACGCAATTCGAAGCACATGTGACAGAACGGTTTTACTTTCTCAAAGTGTTGGTGGATATACTGTATTCAGAGCCTTTACCTAAGTTAAAGAACAATAATACCACATTGTAAAAATACTCCACAAAAAATACTCCACAAAACATCATGCAAGAAAATGAACTGAAGTAAAAGAAAGTATAGTCAGCAAAAATACCTATTGTATTAAATGAAAAGTACCCCAAGTTACCTGTTGTACAAATGCCAATTTATGTTCTCTAAATTGGTATTTTAATAAAAATGAATTTGATCGATTTAAATCATAATTATTAAAGTAACTGGTGAGGTAAAAAGTAAAACAATTCCCTTTATAGTCGAGTTGAAGTATACATTGGAATTACTTAAGTAAAGTATACCGCAAATTTGCACTTAATTACAAAACTGGAATAAATTAATGATGTTACAATTCACCACTACTTTTTTCAATATTGAACCAAAATGAGCATATGTTCCTCAGAAAGTGCCTTAATAACCTAAAGCACATTTGACACCCTGCTCTGGGTGTGAGGTGCATTCATCCATTTATGTAACTAAAACAGCATTTGTAAACTATATTATTCTGTAGCGCCAGCCTACAATTTGATACTAAATATCATGGTTTCTTCTTTCCTAAGGTCACATTGTTCTTAGATAATACACTGATGTTTATTCTGTAATGGATTTATTTGCATTGCATTTGATATTGAGGTAATCCAAAACTAACTGAAAGGGATTAGGTTACATTACTTTTATATTTTCATACTCAGATTAGGTTGATTGCAGGCATCATGTAAACCTCTTCAGGTTTTGGTGTGTGACCTGCTGAGGCACACACCTCCAATTCACTGACTGTGCTTTCTTCAGGAAAAGTAAATTTTCTAGAATCTGCACAGTGTGTTTATGTGTGTTTGAGAGCGAAAGAGTAGAATACAACTGTGAGTGGCTACTTGAGGACTTTGAGCTTGCGTCTCATTGGCCAGGGTCTGGTCCGGATGTTGGCGATGATCTCCTTCTGGTACTGAATGTTCTGGAACATCTCCTCTGGGTCGTTGCTGTCCGCCCGCTCATCCTCTTTGTCCTGATCATCTGAGGAGCTGCAGAGCACACAGGGGCACAATCAATAAATATAATGAAATAACGATTTTTGTATCAACTTTTTGCATCAGACCCCCGAAAGGAAAATACCCAAAGAACCCCTCAAATGAATGGGGGAAACCTTAAAAACCTTTAGGAGAGCAACAGAGGAGGTTCCCTCTGCCAGGACGGACAGTCGTGCAGGAGGTGTTGACAAACAAAGATCATTACATTACAATAAGACCATCCAAATTAGAAAAACGATGATGAATGTTTTATAAAGATGGATCCAGAAGGAGGTCAAAAATCCTGGAAGTGTTGCAAAAAATAACAACATGTGTCATAGGGTTGCAAAATTCCGGGAGTTTTCAAAGATGGAAACTTTCGGTCATGATATTCATGTTATGTCACGTTTTTATGTCTAGGTTTGGGTGTTTTACTGTTCTCCCTGTCATGTTTTCCTCCTGGTTTGTTGTCTGGTCTTCTTCCTGTGTTTTTCCTCCTGTCGTTAGTTTCCCTGGTGTGTCTTTGTCTGATTGTGTTCACCTGTGGCCCTTGTGTTTCTCCTCCCCTGCCCGGCTGTTTCTCGTCTTGTGATTACCCCTCCCTGTATTTAGTCTTGTCTCTTCCTGTGTTGGTGTCGGTTCATTGTTTGTCTTTCCTGTCTCCCTCCATGTTGGTCACGGTCAGTTTTGTTTGTTAATGCTACCTTGTGCTGCTTGTGTTTTTTCGTGCCATGTTTATGTTCATCAGCTTTTAAATAAAGCTTGTTTTTGTTTCTAGACCTTTTACCTTTTTATAGCCTGCATTTGGGTCCTACCTTTTCTGCAAACAGTAACAGAAAATGCAGAAAAAGTTGAATATTTTATTAGCTGAATGGTAGCTGCTTTTAGCTTTAAAAACCAAGTAAGTGTGTTGCTGAACTTAGCAGAGAAATACAGAAAAGTGAAATGATTTGAATCAAATTGTTACAGCTCAAATGCATTGCAATGACTTTGCGTGTCTGCTCTGATTAGATGATGTCACTCAGGTTTGTTGCCCCAATCTGCCAAGCAGTACTGAGTCCCATTAAGAATGCATTGAGCATTATATCTGACCATTTTGCCACTTGTTAAAAAACTATGGTTCCTATACAAAAATTATCAGACCGTGAGCATCAGGGAACCCCAATGAACTGATATATTTTCTTTTTAGGTTTTGTGTGTAAAATGTGGAGATGGGAGCACTTTGTTTAAAGTGTACTTCTCTCTAGTCTGAAGAAAGATCCGGAAATTGTTTACATGGGAGTCTATTGGGAGCTAGGTGGAATTTTTGACAGGTTTTTGTCTCTTCATGCCCTCAAGAGGCATTTAGTTTAATTTATTTTCTTACGTTTTTTCTTTTTTTTTTCAACGTAGGAAAGGTTCTCCTATGTTTTTCATGAAGAATTATGTCTCAGGAGTGTAGGGTTTGGGAATTATGGCAGGTTTAAAACATTTTTTGGGGCAAATTTCAAGCTTTCCTCCACTCTGTTTTGAGATCAGAGCACTCTAGAGCTGCCCAATACACACTAATGTTAAAATCTGAAGAAGGCCTCTTTACCAAGCTCCAAACTAAGTTAAATATCTCAAAAAGTGCAAAAGATATAAACAATCTGAATAAGAATTGAATAGCTGATGGTCTTGTGATCATTTTTAAGTTAGAATGAAGTCTCTAGCTGAAAGTATGAGGAAGGAGTAGCATTTGGCGCAAGGTAAAAGAGGATTTGAAGGTTCCTCCCATTTACTTCCTTTCCAAAAAGAGTTTAAAAAGCTGAATATTTTGAAAAGTATGAAATATTTTGAAAAAGTTGAAAGTTTCCCATCGATTGCTGAAAAGGCTGAATAGTTTGATATTTGAATACGTTTGCTACTGCACCACCAAAGTCCCCCAGTGCTGTTGTCAATAACCTAAAGTGGTAAGGTAAAATAGGCTTGGGTATGTTGAGTCAAAGCGATACCTAAGATTAGAAGGCAAACTTCAGTCCCTAATTCCATGTCGTTCATTGTCTCGGGAGTCTAGTCCAAACTTACTGACATACGAAAATACACCGGGAGACGTTAATTTCCAGATACAGTCCAAAGAACTAGTATTAAGGTAACAACCCACATGATTCTTTCTAAATATAACCACGTAAAAGGCTTGAGTGTAACCAAAGATATGTCGTAGACATATCATCGATAATATAAGTTAGAGACAGGATTGTGGCCGAACAACCTCGAGACGGGGGGTGACACCGGGTGACACGAGACGAACCAGTCGAGCGGGTGACGACAAGACCACGCAGCCAATGTCGCTAGTCACTAGAAAGTACCGCAATCGTTGCTTTACTGTGTGATTACTGTTTGCTCTACTCTTAGACGCACCCCAGGACCCACGGCACAACCCTCCTTGCAACGGTGCCAGGACGACGCGCCGCGGCGGCACCACGACCCAAGGTAAAGGACAACGACGCACCCCCAGGGCGCTCTGTCGCTTCTGTAGGCACTTACCTACGTTCCGAGGTGATCAAGATTATTTAATGTATTCATCGCTAATGAAAGGTCGAAAATAATCGATTTGTCAGGCTGCAGTTTATTTATGTTGTAACTACATGATATGTAAGAATTAAGACTAACGTGTCAACAACGACGAACTGGACTTTGATTCTGGTATGTCTCCCTTAAATCCGGAGTCAAACGCAGGTAACAAACAGGTTGGTTCATAATCTAAATTGGTGTTGGTGAAGACGTACTACTTTTGTAACTGTATGAAGCGTGCTGAAAGAGTACCTACAGTTTTTTCTTGTAGTGGCCGGTATAGTTTGGTGTGGTCTTTGGAGACTAAATAACGGTAAATGGTATCTCCTGATTAGAGGAAAGCCGGCTATGATATACAAGGTGCTGACTGTTTTTGCCCACTTAAGCCGAAGTCTTTACGACCGTAAAATTACTAGTCCAGACTTTAATCCCAGTCCAAAAATCGTCGTACCTATTGTTGTCCGTCGTTACAGTGACATATTGATTTGTTATTGAGGGACAATGTCTACAGTAGAAGTCTTATGTTTTAACATTCTAGCGACTTTATACACTTGACATCCGATTTTTCAAAAGATTCGTAAAGGAAAATCCTTCCGAGAGAAACAACGATTCTGTATGACCGCCCCTGACTTTTGAACTAACAGATCAAAATACGTTAAAGAAGATATGTCGTAGTTGAAGAGCATGTCTTAAGTGTCTGCCACTGAGCGTTCTAACAAATTACGTTTATATTCCTCAGGCGGTTTATGGTTAGAGGTTACCGGGTTCACGTTTTACTGGTCTTATTTGCACAGACCCAACAACTAGTTCATGTTTGCGTCACTGACGAAGCCGGTACTGACTCTACAACACATATACATCGACAACAAGGAACAAAATGTGGTAAATAAAGAGGGAAAAATAGCACTAGAGTGAACACTTCGTGAACACTTAGGAAAGACACTTTTCACGATATATTTATTTGAAAATGAATGAATGAATAAATTGAATGGAGTTTGAGTAAAAGACCCGGGACCTACAAAGACTTTGATTTATAGGGACGAACGTGGGGATGGTGAGTGGTTAACTTGACGAGAAGTTTACTTCTGATTCATTGATTTACACAGACTTATTGGGTCAGGTTTGTTTGTAAAGGTTGTTTCAGATTCGTATGTAGAAAAAATTTGTTTTTGTAGGAGAAATCACGACCCCCCCGAGGTCAAGCAAGGTCGAGTGTGACCGACTTTTCTCCCCCCCACGCAACATATGGACTTTTCATGAGTTGGTCGGGAAAGCTGGTCTGAAAGTAGTCACAAAACTAGGAAAACCAGGTTGTAACAAACGAATAAACTCACTCAACCCATATATAGTTGGAAACGCTATTTATGTCATTTTTTTTCTTATTGTATTGGTGACGTGCCGTAGATGTAAATGGGAAACAGTAACTCCCAATGTTGTAAAAATTCTACAGAATGATCCGTTAAACAGAAAAACCACCTATAACATTAAGTGTCGTAATATCATATCTCATAAAGGTACTGAATTTTATACAGTCCTCCCCTTGAAAGGACGATTAGTAATAGGTTTCCTTTACCTGTAAACCATCTTCATTTTTACGGAGTTGTAGAAACGACCTGGAGTCCTGTAGTCGATTTGAAATACTCTAATATATTTCGTACTTTAGAAAGACTTTACCGAGTTGTCAAGCCATACATGCTATGAGTCTTCCAGTCCATGTTAATTTACCTAATCCTAGTACTATCGGCGTCCGTAAAATTATTAGAGAGTTCATTTTCCTTTACATAAATTATCCTATTTAAGGAAGTTGCATCTTTACGGGCTCTTTTAACTAGTCTTTTTGCAGTTGTAAACAAACCAAATCTATCTACCTACAAGTTGAAAGAAATACCACGTCTACTTTTGATAGTGCTAGATCAAAAATACAGTGCTAAACCAAACCAGATAGAACAGTAACCAAATAAACGTTAAGACAAGAGGGACACAGAAACAGAAGGAAGGACACAAAGGGAGGACACAGACTAACAGACTAACACAAGTGGACAACGGGAACACAAAGACGGAGGGGACGGTCGACCACAGAAAGGACACTAATGGGAAGAAACATAATCCACACTTACGACAATGTCGTAAGGTGATATCAAGAACTTAGAAGTTTAGTTGGTTATGAAACCGAGAGTTATTGAGGTCGTATGAAAAGTCG